TCCAAGCACTCTTGATTAAGAGGGGAGCGCTGTTGATTTTTTTTTTCCTCTCTCTCTTTTAGGCGGTTGCCAGAGCCCAGATAACCATATAGTCCCGGGAAAAAAAAAAGTTGGCACCAATTTCAGAGAGGTTACAAAGCAAGGACACCAGTTCTCACACGGTCCCAGACCAGATGACGGATGAGGGTAAGACTACAGCAGACAACAGGGACCACTGTGGTTAGATGCTATAAGCTGCAATTTGATTTAGATTTTTAATTAATATTTGTAGACGTGCATTTCATCTCTACAGACACGTCTGCCAAATCAGCAGCATGGGGAAGGGGGAATTGTGGATGGAGCCAACTTTTCCTCATCACTGATGCGTATGAAAATGATGCACCAATCTTCACACTTGTCAGCCAAATCTAGCATCTATGAGAGGTTTAGGAGCAGCATTGTCCACTCCCATCAGCAAAGTACCCAAATGAGGATGATGTTATCCGTCCAGAAGCACCGCCGGCAACCTATAAGTAAGGTTCCCTCTTGCACACAAACCTGCGTTAGACAAGAAACGATGGGCGTTTTCTCCTTCGCTTTCATTCATTTAAACGTTTGACTGGTGCTTTTACCCTGCAAAAGAATTAGGGCACGCAACTGAAGAAATAGTACCAACAACTGTTTTGTTTTGGTTGGTTTGGTTTTGTTTTTTTTTAGAATAAAACTGTAAAACATCTCGATGGACCTTGACTCATCACAGGGGACACTGGAGCTGCTTATAAAGACACCTTCTGATGATTGTGTCTATATTTAAATATTGTGCTTTTCAGTCAAACCCCTTAGAAAAGCAATCAGAAAAGCCTCAGAAAAGGAAACTGTTTGTGGCAGATTTCTGGCAATCTTGTCGCGGATATGCAGCATCGACATTAGTTTGCCAAAAAATGTTGTCAGAGCATTTGCCAATGTTGTCCACTAGCGGGTTCGGACCTGCTGGCCGGCTGTTCTCTATGTGGCTGCGTGGGTTTCTTCCAGGTGCTGCGGCTACCTCCCATCGTCTGAACATATGGTTTGTTAGTTAAATGGTGATCCTAAATTAGAATTCTGAGCGTGACTTGTCGTCTGTATCTCTTTGCTGGCCCTGTCACAGACTGACGACCTGTCCGTGATGCACCCAGTCTCTTGCCAAGTTTCCAGCCCCCTCCTGAACGGATAAAGTGGGTCCAGCTAATCAATTGATGGATCATTTTTGGATTCTAAGAGGCTCGCAGCCACACAGAAATATTTTCTGGAAACACAAAAAAATATGAATTTACATACATTCTAGGAAACCTGCAGCAAATAAATATGAACTGTTTGCTTTGAGTCAACCACAAGTTTGCAGAATATTAAGTTTACACCATGAAATATGACCATAGTATTGCCAAAGTAAATGTTTGTGAAGGACTCAGACTTAAATTGCCCTTAACAAAAGCAGCAATATTGGAGGTCTTAGCTTTGAAGCTAATTGCATTTCTCAAATCAGAATATAATAAACTGTCAGTTTTGACAGAACTGTAGCTTCATTTCATGTGAAAATCAGAATATCTTTTTCAGACTAACCATCACCGTCTTCCTGTTATCTACCTGCTAATCTAACGTATTTCCAAAAGCTAATATTGGTAGGAAACAATCTCTGCTACTGTTCTGGTGTATTTTTCACTGTGGCCCAGCTCGCCCTCTCTTTCTTTGTCCATTTGTTTGTTTTTGTTAAGTCCAACTCCGACTTCAGGTAAAAATATCTTCTGAATGTGACAAATGAAAAATTCTATTTGAAAATCAGCTTTCTGTTTAAATACAGTAATGCGAGATACACAACAGTATAAGTGATGCTACTGAGTCACTTTGCTAACTTTATAAGACTTTACTTTTTATCACATTACATTTTCAGATGGAACATTATCCCATGAATGTTCCTTGTGGTGACGAGGTTTATTGATCGCTCATGGTTACATAGCGTTTGGTAGCTGATATTTACATAGAGTGGGAGGTGGGGGCAGATGTAGCGACCAGCTCTGAAAAGTACATTCAATGTGAATATCCATCCACCCATCCATTATCTATACACCGCTTAATCCTCACTAGGGTCACGGGGGGCTGGAGTCTATCCCAGCTGACTCAGGGTGAAGGCAGGTTCACCTGGACAGGTAACCAGTCTATCACAGGGCTACACTTAGAGACAGACAACCAAGCACACTCACATTCACACCTACGGACAATTTAGAATCACCAATTAACCTCAACATGTTTTTGGACTGTGGGAGGAAGCTGGAGAACCCGGAGAGAACCCACGATGCACAGGGAGAACATGGAGACTCCACGCAGAAAGATTCCGGTGCCCCCACCGGGACGCGAACCGGCGACCTTCTTGCTGCGCCACCTTGCAGCCCCAATGTGAAAATGCCATAAAGCATAATACAGTGCAGTTATAGGTGTTTGCTCGAAGACCTTGTGGTTTTCTTAGGCTTACATTTAAAAGTTCTCATGTAAAGCTAAGTGAATAATTGATTTTTCTTTACTAAATTCTCTCCCTCTGATTAGTGTTCTGGCGGTCCATCTGAAAATAATTCCAAAATTTAATAGGAATAAACTACGTAGGGGCTTGTCTGACTTGATTGACATGTCTGGTCAGTAGTGATTAAATAGGAATCGGGTCGGTATAGGAGGGAGTCTCCTCTGGCAGTTCCACGCCTGGCTTCTCTTAAGATCTGCTCCCTTTTCCAAACATTGTCGCCTCCGGCTCCAAAAACTCCAACTCGGCGAGTTGAAAGTGGCAAACTCAAAGGTTCAAAACTGCGATCCACAAAGCCGTGGGCTATGTCCGTCTTCATTGTATAGTTATCATGTTATATTTGAAAAAAAATAATCAACTCCCCACATTTGCCTGGCACAGAAACTCACGGCTGTGGATCAATCATGCAGGCGTACTTAAGGAGCTCCAACACAAAACCACTGAGCTTCAGCCACCGTTGAGGTCACAGCACCACAGCTGCTGAATTCAACCACAGAATTACCACAACATTAAAGCTGAACCAACTTCAGGATTGAACATTTTTAACTTCATTCACTTTTCTCAGTAACATCGGTGGCTTCCTCCCACCATGAGCGGTGCGCATCATGTGAATGAATATTAAGTTCAGTAATTGAAGCTTTCTTGCTAAAATGCACCTTGAGAGTTAACTGCTCTTCTTTATTTTTTTTTATGTACAAAAGCTCAACTCAGATTTCATGCTGATCCAATTTTCAGCTGCTCCCATGACATTTTTTTATAGGAAAAATGAATGCAACTTTTTTTTTTTACTTCTGGAGTCTATTCTATAGTTTCCTTCAATACCTTACAATTATTAGCTAATTGTGCTGAAGAAGTTCTGTTCAGGTGAAGTGAGTTGACTCCCATAAAGCTTCCATGCATGTTGTTTATGTCGCACAATTTGCAAACAGGTGATCCTTACTGGTCGACAAAGTTTCATTTATCACTTCTCATGAGGCAGATTTACACCCACGTGGCAATTACAGCAACCAGACCAAGTTTTAGTGGACCGCAGCTTGTTATTGTGGCTTTGTGACCGGGACACTTGTTTCCACATAAGCATCAAGCTGTACTCTGCCTCAGCAAATGTGACTCCAGGTCACAAGTGTTGGAGTCATGGGGCTAAACCTCGTGGATGAATAATCACAAACTGTTTTCTCTTTCCGTCTGTCCTGCGCTGCCTGTGCCTGCTCTCTGGATGAAAGCTGGAGCTCTCAATTATCCAGGCTGGACACATGATCTCTGAGGCAGATCTCTGAGGAGGCCCAGTCACTGTATTGGGTTTCTCTCAGACGAGCGTTGCGGTGTAGCTACACAAACAATCGATTCATGCAATTTGATACAGTAGCAAATGCTTTATCCTTGACCTTTTTGTCTTTGTGTGTAGTAAACGGCAGCGTATCGGATGACCGTGAGGTTATTGATCCTTAATATCGTATCATATAGCAACTGCTGAGATCAAGAAACCAATAACCTGAGACATACACACAAGGATTACAGAGAATAAACAGTGTTGTGTCTAGAAAGATGCTGTGTCAGTGTAAAAAACAACAACAACAAAATCCCTGAAATACTGTATATTCAAGCCAAAACACTCATTATTAGCCAAAAGTTGTAAAGCACATTCATTAAAAAACACAAGTGACATTTGCGTCTAGAGAGATCTGTACAAGGCAAAGTGGTTCCTGTCATTTTAAACAGCTGTGCACCGTAGGAGCTGCCATATCTGTTTGGGATGAGAAAGTCGTACCTGTGAGAAATGTCAGCGTATCTGTGCAAGCTAAAGAAAGTTTAAGAGGAGTGTCACCGCTTTGAATTAATGCAGGAAATGAGCCTATCCTGGTTTATTTTAGCTTCCTGCATCTTCTACAGTTCAGATCAAACGACACGGGATCAATTAGGGTGCATAACGTGCAGGATGCATAACCAGCGTGTCAGCCCGAGGCCCCTCAGGTAATGACAAGGCTTCCTTCATGTCAACACAACAGGCTAACATGCATTCTTGGGCTACGCTGATGAGTACACGTGATTATGAAATCCGCATTTCATCACTCGCTGGCTGCTCCTTCCCTATCCTGACAATAATTATTGAGGGAATTACATACAGCCGGCACATGTCATTAGGAGGCACCGTAAAGAACAGAAGCGGGCGGAGGTGTTCACATGAAGGCCTATGGGCTTCTGCATCTTTTTAAGTGTCGGTAATAAAATGCAGTCGCCACCTCCTGAGGAACTCCTGGCCAATAGGAACCCATTGAACAAACTTTTATGTGTCCTCCGAAAAAATGCTTGAGCATCCCCGGCACCGCGTCTCTCAGTCAGTCCTCAACATGCGCAGGTAGGGCTGACTTCAGGGAGGGAATTTCACGTCCACGGCTCCTTCTGCTCCTGCATCTCACAGCTGAGTGCCTCTTTGCCGAGCCTGTCTGTCTCCCGTCACGGAGGGGAGTGAAACATGGCCTTCCACAGCTCTGGTTTGAAGAGGTAAATATCTCCTGTGTTCTTCCTGTCAGAGGCTCTTCATCAGGAACTCTTCTTCTCTCTGAGCTTTTTTTTTTTTGTCTAATTTCCATAATAATGAAGAGCCATTTCAAGCTGACTAATAATCTATTTTTAATCTTCCTTCAGAGAGAGGAAACATCGACATTTTTGCTTAACTCAGTGACTTGATGGCTGCAGTAAGATCTAGCTAAGCGTAGATTAAAGAAGCTGGCCCTTTGCCATTTAATCTGACCCACACATGCCGCCTCTAAAGCTACATTTCAACAGAGTCAAAGAAGCTCTTAAGCTTCTCCTCCTCGGCACTTCACTGTTCCTATTCAGTTTGTAAGGAAAACGCCTGAATGAAAGAGTTCTCGTCTGACTAATGTCTCCAGTGGCGTCGCCTCCAAAGACGTTTTTGCATTTCTGCTAAACTGCTCAAAGTCACACACGTTTTCTGCAAGTTTGACCTTGACTGAACTGCGATTACTTCGGGATCAACTGTGATCCATTTTGGGGGTAATTAAGATAAACGGGAGCACAAAAGTCATGTCAGGGTTGTTGGCTCGCTCTCAGCATTCTGGGAGCCCCGAAGTGGAAACACAACATGGGTGGCAGAGAGTCCCATCAAACGTTGATGAATGTCGGGAATGAAAGCAGATGACACGTCATTATCTAATTGACTCGGCTGATTGATTACATGACAGGATACTTACGGGAATATGTGGGGATTTTCTGGTCCTCTGATGTTAAATTTGCAGTTTCTTCACCTTTGGCTGCACTAAACACAGCATCTGTGTGTAATATGAGGAACTGTACAGAGAACCTTTATCTCGCACGTTACACACATTTATACATGCAGCAAACACAGTATTGTGTTTCATGTTTCATGTTGTGGAAAGTCCTGCCTGCAGCTCAGAAGCCTCATTAGGAGAGTTGTCAACTTTTGAAATCCATCAATCTTTAGAGGGATTTCGAGTCATTACTTACATTGACAACTTACCCCAAAAGATTCCTTTGCCTGCAATGCTCGAAAGCAGCAGCAATCGTTTTTGCAACGTTCTTGCTGTGCTAGCGTAGCTGAAAGAACAGATATAACCTGAACAGAACTATATTAAGTGAGGCTTTTATTGATCTTTCTCTTTCTGCCCTCTCCTCTTCAGTTGTTGTGTGCAGAACTACAAGAACAGCTGCAAACCCAAGACAAGTTTATTGTGCAATTACACGAAGAGCACAAAGCAAAATTTAAATCACACTTTGCAGAAAACAGATTTGATTTGGTCACAGTTACCTGTCTTGGAAGGATCCTTGCTGAAAGTTAAATGAGAAGATCAATACC